CTGTTGTGCATAGGGTCGCTATGAGTTGGTACTGACTCGATGGCATCTAACAACAACAACTGTACAAAAGCAACAAATGAGTAAAAGTAAAGATAAGAATACCAGACAATCTGAAACAAAGAACATACTCTACAAAAAGGAAGAAAGAGCAGAAAACACTGAGGTTTTTAATGTCTCTGATCCAACATAATAAAAACTTAAAGCAAAAGTCAACATACTCCTTTAGACTGTTAAATCACTCCACTTTACAGCAATACAAAATTGAGTAATTTAATTTCTGTACCTTAGTTTCCTCTTCTGAAAAATGATACATGAATACTTGAGATTATAGGAATACATGATAAGTAAACTCCTCGGCACAGTGGTTGATATACTTCAAGCAAGCTTGAAATAAATGCAAGCAGTTATTATTAATCTGTACTCAGAATTGTCGTTAAGTGACATGGAGTCAGTTCAGACTCATAGAGACCCTGTACAGGGTTTCCAAGAAGCCAGCCTTGGGATTCAAACAGAAAACGTGGTCTGGTGCCTATCCCACAGAGCCATACCAAGACTCCATACTTAGAATGGAGGTTGTTAGTAAGGTGGAGTTAGTATGGTGGAGTCAGTTCCGACTCATAGTGACCCTGCACAGGGTTAAGGCTGTAAATCTTCATGGGAGCAGAATGCCTCATCATTCTCCTGCGGAACCACTGGCAGTTTCGAATTGCTGACCTTGAAGTTGGCAGCCCAACTTGTAACCACTACTCTACCAGAGTACCATAAAAATTATTCTCAACTTTTATCAAAGGAACTACGCTGTTCCAGCTATTCCATTTGAAATATTCTTATTCTGCACTCATGCCATCTCCAAACAAGCTCCTCCATCTTTCTCAATGAAGCCCATGTATTACTAACTTTTAAAAACTTCAGATAAAGTAGCTTGCAGAGAGAAAAATCATGTAATCGTTGCTGTTGTTAAGTGGTTCCATTTCATAGTGACCCTGAATGTGAGGAGCAGCTGGTGGGTTTGAACCATCGACCTTGAGGTTAGCAGTCCAGTGCTTAGCTGACAGCACCACATCAGGACTCCTCATATTCATGTTGTTGTTATGTACTCAAGTCGGTTCCAACTCACAATCACTCTGTATATGGTTTCTGAAGAGTGTGTGGTAGGTTCAAATTGCTGACCTTGTGATTAGGTTAGCAGTCCAGTGCTGATCCTACAGTGCCACACCAGGACTCCACTGTTAATTGGTCCTTATTCCAAAAAGCTTTCATGTTTTATGGCTATCCTTTCCCAAATAAATTCATGACTCCTGGTGCGGCACTGTAGAATCAGTACTGGACTGTGAACCACAAGGTTGGCTGCTCAAATCCACTAGCTACTCCTTGGAAACCATATACAGCATTGTTAGGAGTTGAAACCAATTCAAAGGCAATTAACAACAATACAAAGGGGGAGTCAAGACACTTTTCAAGAAGTATGAGTACAAAAAGAAACAAAAAACAACTTCAAACCAGAACAGTGTTCTAGCAAAATATCCTAAACTCAAACCACTGAAAATAATTAGAACAAAATATACTGCAGATACTTGGCTATTAAAAGAAATAATGCCAATGACTTCCTGCTTTCCTTCATAAGATTTCATCCCTAAATATGTATTTACTCTTTCATGTGTGTGTGTGCAAAGAGGTAACAAACCAAAAAAAAGTGTGTTTCTCATTCACTTTTTATAACCAACAAAGCTCAGCTTCTGCTTTGTTCCATTTTATTTTTATTCCAGGATCTAGATTGAGTAAGCAGACCCAATTTGGGATATGCTCATCTCACAGCATGACAAATCAAAGAGAGCAAAAGTAACTCCCCTCTGACAAGAATTTGTTTCCTAGTTTATCTGATGAAAGAACCAACCCACTGGTCTTAAATGTCCTAAATACTTCTCCAATTTGGGCTCAGACAGTTTCCCATCAAAGTGAAATATACAGAGAACTCCAACAACCCTAGGACCTCTCCCTCATTTGGAGACTCCTATTGTTCAGACACATAATTTCAGTGGCTTATTTATTACAAGCTGAAAAAGGGAACAGAGCAACACAATAAAGTCAAAGATTTGAACACAAAGTATACCTCACAAGAGGTCCTATAACACTTAGTCCCTACCACCGTCAGTAGCACCCTTCCACATTTTTAAAGTATTTATTTCTCTCTCTTATGTGTATCTAAGAAGCTCTGGTAGCGTAGTGGTTACGAATCGGGCTGCGAGCCTTAAGGCCAGCAGTTCGAAACTACCAGCTGCTCCGCGGGAGAAAGATGAGGCGTTCTGCTCCCATAAAGATTTACAGCCTCGGAAACCCTGTACAGGGTCGCTATGGGTCGGAACCGACTCGACGGCACTTTGCAACAACAACATGTGTATCTACTTGGTGGCTTTTTGTTTCGTTTTTTACTGATATAGTAAAATATAGTCATTATGTGGCGTCCTGGTGTGGTGCTGTAGGATAAGCTAATCACTGGACAGCTAACAACAAAGTTGACCGTTCAAACCTACCAGTTGCTACTTGAAAACACTATATATAGGGTCAGTAAGTCTGTATCAACTCCATGGTACTAACAATTAACAACATAGTTAAAATCAAAGTCAATGTAGACTCTAACTGCTTCCCTTCTTCTACTGATGGCTCCTTTTCTTGAATATTTATATTTGTTCCCCAGTCCCCTCATTACCAGGGAGTTGTTAGCAAAGTGATTCCAAGCCATTGGGCTGCTAACCTCAAGGTTAGCAGTTCAAAACTACTGTGAGAGAAAAGTGAGGCTTTCTGCTCCCATAAAAATTTACAGCCTCAGAAACCCTGTACAGAGGTCTCTGTGAGTCAGAACTGACTCCACAGCACATTGTCACCACCACCTCTCATTACCATGTGCTTTACTGATTCCATTTCCCTTCTTTTACTCCTTTAAGTAACGAGCTCTGGTAGCATAGTGGTTATGAATCGGGCTGCTAACCTCATGGTCAGCAGTTTGAAACTACCAGCTGTTCCACGGGAGAAAGATGAGGCTTTCTGCTCCCAGAAAGATTTACAGCCTTGGAAACCCTGTACAGGGTCACTATGAGTCAGAAGCTACTCCACCGCACATAGCAACAACAACTATTTAAGTGATCTGAAATGTTGTATCATTTGCACAAGTTTTTCTAAGGATTTCAATAAAAATCATTTTAGATGTAGGTTTACCCCTTACTTGGTTCTTTTCCACTCAGACTTTTCAGATCCTCATCATCTTCAAGTCATATGTAAGAAGAGTGGTTAAGGATGAAAAGGAAATATTATGTAAGGGAGAAGAAACAATACATTTTTCCTGGAGAAGCACATCATAAACTCTTTGGGGGGGAAAAGCTGGTGTAGAAAGCAAATACATAAGTATTATTTTCAATTTGTATTTACAATTAATTTTCTTTGGCTTTTAGGCTTTTTAAAGTATAGAACAAAAGTCATTTGATATAGTTGAAATTTTTATTCTGTTCTGAAATTTCTCATATTTGTGAGCAGAAAACTCTTAAGTAGTAGAAATTATCATCAAAGTTCCCACAATTAAATATTGTTGTAGCTCCAACTTTTAAAATTGCTGGCAAAATGGCTGTGATTTAAGCTTAAAAAAAAATACAGCCATTGTCTGATTAACCATGCATGAGCAGTTCCTTCAGATTTGTTTGCAGTTCTGGGATTATGGTGAGTACATTTTTACTTGGCAATGCAAAATTAATCCCCAAAATGTCGAAAATAAAAAGAATTGCGGTCTCTATTCTAACAAAAAAGTTTCCCTTCAGTTTCCCATACATATACATACTGCAGTTTGGTAGAGTTATAATTTCTCTTTTCCCACTCTTAGCACTTTTATTTCTCAGTGATTCTATATTACATAGCTCTCAATCTATCACCTTCAAACTTTTCACAAACCACTGACCCTGCTCTCTTCCCTGCCCCACCCCCACCATCCATGATTCCAAATGTTAATGAAACGCACTTCTAAAACGTCTTCCGAATCAACTTTGATTCTCTCTGCATTCCCTTTACATTTATTTAATATAACACTAAATGAATTAGCATTTGATTATACTCACTTTTCACTATGTAAGCACCCTCCCTCCCTTCTCCTTCACTCGCTCTAGCCAGTCTTTCTATCTTTATTATAGTCTCTACAATCCGCAGTGGAGATTTATACCAACAGGCTGTGAAAATAACTACAAAACATAATACTTGGTAGACAAAAATTCTAGTGTGTATGTGTGTTTGGGTGTGCTGTATGCTGTTCGTATTATTGGAGAAAACCTGGAAATGGAAGAAATGCAGTAAAAAACAAAATAAAATAAAAACTCACCATCACAAAAAATGCTTCAAGACAATAAAGAAACAACAAAAATCCCTAAATTACTGAAAGGCTTTCATAAGTGTGGCTAAGAAATCTCCTGGAATTACTACCAGCCTTTTAAAAATCACCCTCCAATATCAGCAGCAGGGATCTTTTTACATTTTAACACCGAATTATAAACAAGCTTTCCTCCCAGGTGACTGATGAATAAAAGAATCTTTCTGTTTAGGAACCCAATCAATATCCCGAAAAGCGGTGGGAGGGAGAGGACTTGAGCGGTAGGTTAACAGGTGAAACACCGAGGGAGGTGTGAAAAGTGGGGAGAAAAATGTGTGACTCCTCCCCTTCCCGCAGAGCTGAGGCTTGGCTCTCAAGTCAGACACAACCCTTCCTCTAAGACCCTCTCTGTCTGCTACAGGCCAAAGGTTTCCGAGAAACCAAAGGTCCTCCTCCTCCTCCTTTTCGTATTCACGGCACCATTCGCCTGGCCATCGCACCCAAATCACAGCTAGTCTCAGGTCAACCAGCACTCTCTCTAGGAAAGGGTTAGCAAAGGACGTTTCCCCGAGGCCCCGAGAACCTGACTACACAGACCTCCGCAAAAATGGAAGAACCCAAGAAGCTTTTGAAAGAAGTCTGACAATACTGTTACCTGCTTGGAACCCTGGAAACGGAAACGGTAGCTAAAGTAGCTGCCCTTCTCCCCCACAAGGCTTGCATCAGCGCCACTGACATTGAAGCTGCCGCCATCTTGCTGCAGGCAAACACCAGAATGGGAGTACGGATCACCGTATGGGACGAACTTCCTTCGTTCTCAAGCCACCTCAACCGCAACTTAATGGAGTATGTTTTTGGTTTTTTTAATACTGAAATTTAGAAAAGAGTTAAGCATTTTGGCTGAAAAAGTTTAAAAAAAAAAAAAAAGCGTGGAGAAAACCCACAAAATTGTCATATACATTACTCCATAAATGTAATCCTTCTTAGTATTTAACAAAACCAAAAATAATACATAAATAAAGCCCACACCCATTGCCATGGAGACTCGATTCATAGTAACCCTATAGGACAAAGTAGAAATGCCTCATAGACTTTCCAAGACTGTAAATCTTTACTGAAGCAGAATGCCACTTCTTTCCCCCTGGGGAGCAACTGTGAATTCGAACTACAGACCTTTTGGTGAGCAGCCCAGTTACCAGGGCTCCTTTGTTGGTTCTTTGGACTACTACTTGTTGTTATTGTTGTTTTTACAATGATAATGAAAATACCAAAAGAAAATGCCTGAAATTGAAACACCTGCAACTTATATAATTTTCTTCAAAGGACTCAAAATACTGCTTTCTCAAAGTATTGCCAGATTCCGTCTGCAAGCCCCCAGGACAGGACTTCATCCCGTGTTTCATGTTTTGTAGTTGGAATGATCATATTTTCCAAACGAAAAATCTGGACACATGGCCTGGCAAAGGATTATATTTGTGACATGTGGATTTATATGAAAGCCCACATTCTTTGATATTGCTGTTTCCCCAGTAAATCTTGAATGTATGATGAAAACCAAGAGTATTCTTGATGTTCAGTACAAATGAGACAAAAATTATCTTCAGAGACAAGTATTAAAAATATGTTTGTATTATGAGCTACTGACCTTCAGAACAAATAACCGAGTCTCATTTAAAATAAAAAGTAGATAATTTGGTATGTTTTAAGACATTTTAAAAAAAAATTTTTTAATGGACCACTCCTGCTTTTAAGATTCAGCTTATACCTTTATTGAAAACATAGCCTTTATTTTAAAAACAAAATCAGTAAAGAGACGGAGAATGAGTTGATTCAGCACTATGGTCGATTATGGAAAAGTTTAATACATAAGGAAAAGAGAGGGGTAATTGAAGAGACTCAAGGTCAGAAAGAGAGAAAGCTATGACCAAGACAAGAGGAAGTGCACATACGAATAAAAGAAGGTGAAGGGGAGATATCGCAAAAGGAATTGTTTTAAAAATTTTTTTTTGACTTTGAAATAATTATATGAATAGACTGATATTGGTACAATGTTTTTAGTGTTGTGTGTCATTTTATTGTAACAGCACTACACTGTAGATATAGAACTAGCCAATCACCACTAAGATCTCCTTCTTCCTCTCCTTGCATTGTCACAGCCACACTCCTAACGCATAGTAACCAAAACACATAATATTGTTATAAAAATATTGTCATACATTTTGAAACTTTTGATATTGGCTCTGTTGTGTCAGTATTTATTGTTGTTGCTGCTGTTAGGGGCCATCGAGTCACTACTGACTCATAGCAACCCTATGCACAACAGAAGGAAACACTGCCCGATCCTAGGCCAACCTCACTACTGTTGCCACGCCTGAGTCCATCAATGCTGCCACTTGGCCAATCCATCTCATTGCGGGAC